ATGCAGCAGTGGTAGGGGAGTAAAGTTAGGCAAAAATCTCAATTTGACCAAAAAATGACTTAGGCACTTATGCTATGAAGCTAACGATATACTTCCTGTGCAGGAGCCCAATCTAAAAACAAGTGGTGAGATCAAAAAGCAGCAGGCACAAAACTACCAAACAAAAGCTAGAACCACAAGAAATTCAACAGTGACTGGCATCCAGCACCACGACTCTCCTCACAAGGACATTTACCGCAGTGTCTTCATATGGTGACTAGGTGTCCCTCTTTATGTGGGGACACACTGAATTGGCATCCCTCCTACATTGTGATTTACATCAACATGTGAGTCTCACAAGAAACATGAGGACATTCACTGATCTGTCAATGCAGCCCCAATAATCACACACATGATTATTTTACAGAACACGAGCTGAACAGCTATACCCTAAAATCAAACTCTAGCTTTCATGTAGCGTTGCTTGCTTTCTAACATAATTTGGTGTATTTGTCCTTTACAAAACAAATGTCAGATTTGTACAGTGACTATTTGTTTCCTTTCTTTTCTTTGTAGGGATCTGTTCATCCTATTCTCAAACCTGAAATATGGACACGAGGAACACCTGAGTCCCCAAAGTCATTATGATCTGTCGCTGTGAAGGAGACAGCCACAGAACAAACAGCCTCTTTAAAACTCACTCCCTCTCTTTATTGCTGTATTTCCCCATACGCTATCTCACTGAGTACACAATGCAATAGGTGGCCATTTCTCAGCTCTACAGATAAGAACATCATGCACGTCACTCTCTCATCCACCCTTCCAACAGATCTGCATCCTCTGAAAGCAGGAGGAGTCAACAAGAGCACATAGGACAGAGTTCACAGCCTGTTTGCCAACCTTCCCACAGGGTTAACAACTGTTCAGCCAAACGCAACAATGCTGTAGGTTACTGCTTTTCCGAGCAACACATGACTTTACTAATAAAATTTCATCACTTCTGCCCACAAATTCATTGCTTCAACATTTAGGTCTTCCTTTCAACAATTCAGCATCAATAATGACCCTATGGTAACGTCAAAGTTTGAAATAAATCAACTTAATGGGAACATCTGTCATTGTTTGATAGAAAATCCAGTAATTTATTAACAAGATGGAGCTAGTAAGTCTGGGTGTGGACAACATAACCTAGGTAAACTTCACCTAGAAGTCAGCTAAGTTTTGTTTGTGGTGACAGAAAAACAGTCTGGTTCCCATTTCTATATAAGGAAGCAGTTTAATTCCCCTCATAGGTAATAAGGGGGAAATGAGAAGTATCACCCTCCCCTGAGGTAAAGTTAAAGGTTATTCTCATCTGAAGCACACAGTGCCTCGAATCCATTTACTTCCACAGTAGTCTATCATCAATAACACACAGATGTTTGTAACCCAGTCAAAGTAAGTATAGTTTTGAATGTTCGTGGCATTTAAAACAATCCCCGCCATGTCATTTAAGCTGTCACGGAAAGTGACAAATGTGGACGAGCAGAAGTAAAAAGATTCTTCAATTGTCCACAAAACACGATTTATATTTACTGCTGCTTTTCCTTTTTTTTCTGTCATATATGCTCACCAGCTACTTTGTTAGGTACACCTGTTCAACTTCTTGTTACTTCAAATGTGTAATCAGCCAACCACATGGCAGCAGCTGAGTGGATTTAGGCATATAGCCATGGTCAACACAACCTGCTGAAGTTCAAAGCAAGCAACAAAATGGAAAAGAAAGGTCATAAAAGTGACTTTGATGTTGTTGTTACCTGATGGAATGGTCTGTGTATTTGAGAAATTGACGATATTTTGGGGATTTACCCAAACAAACATTTCTACGGTTTATAGAGAAGGATCCAAAAAATAAAATGTCCAGCAAGCGGCAGTTCTCTAGTTGAAAACACTTTGTTGACGTCAGACAAGAATGGCCCGACCATTTTAAGCTGTTAGTAAGGTAAAAGTAACTCAAACATTAAAACCAACATATGCAGAAGAGCATCTCTAAACACACCACATTTTGAACCTTAAAGTAGATGGGCTCCAGCATCAGACCACATGGGTGCCACTCCCGTCAGCTAAGAACAGATAGGTGAGGCTGTGGTTTCCACAGGCTCACCAAAACTGAACAACAGATGACTGGAAAAATGTTAGCTGGTCTGTTGTTTCTCAACCTGATGCAGGATTTGGATTAAAAGGTCAGAATGTTGCATAAACATGAAAACCTGCGTTCCATCATGAATGGACTGTGATACCATCATGTCAACCTGGACCAACATCTCAGATTAAAGCTGCACCTTGTTGAATCTATACCACAAAGAATTAAAGAAGTTCTGAAGGCAAAAGTGGGTCCAACCTGGTACTGGGGTGAGTGTGGCTCAGGTGTTAGAGCAGATCCGCTACTGAGTGGAAGGTTCGTGGTTCAATTCCAGTCTGCATTCCAAACATCCTTGGGCAAGATACTAACCCCAAGTTGCCCTCGGATGTGTTCATCGGGGTGTAAATGTGTGTGAATATTTATTAGTTTGCACTTGAGTTTAGAAGTGCTTGTGTGAATGGGGCATGTTGTATACAGCGTTTTGAGTACTCCGGGAGAGTAGAAAAGTGCTACATAAGAATGAGTCCATTTACTGGCAACCTGTGTCCCGTGAGTGTATGTACACCAGTGTATCGAATGTAATCTGATTCATCTTTCATTAACAAATAGCAAACTAATCTTCCCATTAGGCCTCCTTAGGAACTCACTGGTTACAAATCTGTTTCCTGAACACAATTTAATTCAATTTTATTTATGTAGTCCCAAATCACAACAACAGTGGCCTCAAGGTGCTTTATATTGTAAAGACACTACAATAATAAAGAGAAAAGCCCAACAATCAGATGACCCCCTATGAACAAGTATTTTGTTGACAGTGGAAAGGAAAAACTCCCCTTCAACAGGAAGAAACCTTTGTCACCTGATCCAGCCTTAATTATTATGCTTTGTCAAAAATGACAATCATATAATCACAAACACATGATCTATCAAACTCATTTTAGAGTCTGTGCTGTTTATGCAACTCCCGCCCCACCCCTTCCAAAGAAATGAGTTATTTAAAGAACTGCTTGCTGTCACTAGATGGTGAGGTCTATCTTTCTATCTAGCTTTAGTAAGCCTCTTATACATTATACTACACTAATGTGCCAAGATCTTCATTATGAGTAACTACACATTTGATAAGAACTTTGAAACAAATCAGTTTTCTTGGTAACAATTTTTATTATTTTTCTCCTACTGTCAGTTCTTAATTCGTTGGACAATCAGCCTCGCGAAATGTGTCACATGAACTTGAAAGAACATAAAAGTGAAAGATATCAGCTGCAAACATCTGGCTGTTATTAAAAAAAAAAAAAAAAAAAAAAAAAAAAAAGGGTAGCAAAATTAATTTTATACAGGGGTAACAATTCAGTAATGTGTAGTGTTTCGTACATTTTTTGTAAACAAGAACACCGAAACAATATGGCAAAAATAAGATGTGAGGGCGAGAGGAGGTTGAACTTAAGAGACTGAACACTGGTTGGCAAGAGACATTTACAGAAACAGCATCTTAATGGGTCACATGTACAAATGTCATGTACACAAATGTTTTAAAACAGTCGCACAGAATCATGACGTTTTTCTACACACAACAGCATTTCTGCTACATACGTCACACCGTCACTCCTTTTGTCCCTGGATTACTGTGATATGAGGTATACGTGAGGCAAATTCTTGCCTCAACATGGCAACATATTATTTCAGATATTACAGCATTGCATTCAGTCTGCCATGTTTGATGATTGCTTAAATGAGGCCATTAGGGCACAAAGGGGTTCAGCGACTCGGTCAGCAAAGTGATATAATTTCCAGCATTCGGGGCCAGTCGTTTCTATGGAAGACAGCGCAGTTATTGTTATGTTGTTGTCTTTACATAAAGTACATTTTCAAACCAGCGAGAAATTACATTAAACATTTACGAGACAATATTTTGTTGCTGTACTTCTAAGGAATAGGCACCCAATTTCTAACAGGACAAACAGGCTTGGTACTGCCAGCACAAGCAAAAGCTCTAAATGTATACAACACATTTCTCTATGTGTATACATGTTTCTGAGCTGAAGAAATACTTGATCACTATCACATTTTGTCATTAAAGTCAATATGAAAGCAAAGCTGATAAACTCGAGTAACAAGTCAAACTAAAACTAGGGGGGTTTGAATTACATTTACATTATCCCAATTAAATATTAGCATTTCTAACCCCTCCCAAAAACAGGAGGAGAAAGATCAAATCCCAGTTTTCCCATATCAACCCTCCCCTCATCCCATATGCTCAGCCCCAAGAACCCCCATCTGCATACAACATGTCTGATGTTTGAGCTTCCTTGATCCGACGTGGTACTTTACTCAATGTAAGAAATCGGTTCAAAGTGCTAATTGAAATAAGAGGAAGAAACAGAAGAGGAAAAGGGGAAGGCCATTCTATCGCTGTCCAACAGCAACCTCTATTGGCCAAAGAAAAGCCTTAACATCATTTTTGTTCTCCAAAAATACACCAAGGACAACATTTGACCCCTGAACCAGCCCCCTTTCTTCCTCAATTTGGACTGGAAGATGCCCAGAATGATTAAAACTGTTCTTTTACATAATATATATTTTTATAAATATATATATATAGATATATGTATTTATATATGGCCCTTATTGAAGCAAACATGAGTTTCACATTGACATTAAAGTACCATAATCTCTATATAGCCAAGTAGAAAGTGTTCTCAGTGTTCAAGTGAGCTGGCAGCAGTCAGTTTATGTCACACTCATTCAACAAGTAATAAAACATAAGAAATATCATCTTTGAAGTCGCAAATTTACACTTCTGAAAAGAGTGCTCACTGCACCTCGTAAGCCTCTCCTTTCTCACTTTTTCCTGAGTAATACTTTAACCTTGTAACAGACAAACACGTTTTATTTTGTTTTGTTGTTTTTTTTGCTAGTTTTATTCTGGGCTAATCCCTGCCATCGTGGTTATTTCTATGTTGTAAAGTTGATTGCTCAAACACTTCAGCTCGTTGAAAAAGAAATACGTCTGGCTCTTACCCTACACTTACTGAAAAAGTTCATAATTAATGACCAAACCTAATGTCACTAATGTGACCAGAATAAACAGTAAAGTACATATTTAACTTAAAATTACAGATACTTAAAAAAAAATAATAATAAAAAACTTGCATTTGCAGGAAGCCTTCCAGGCTCATTGCAGGAAGAGGAGTGGGCACAAAGACAAAGCATCAGTATAATTAAAATATAGATGTCACTTAAAAAAATAACAATAATAATAATAAAATAGGAGCACTGAAAAATTAAAATAAGGACATCAACTTTAACAACAGAGCATTTACTCGTTCTCAGGCTCTCATCTGTAGCTTTGGCTTGTCGGAGTTTTGGAACCTGTACTTACTGGCTCATTGACATCAGATAACAAACTACTATACCCTGAGAATTCAGACACAGGTGTCCGTATCCTGTGATCCACCTCCCTGCCAGAGTCAGTGCCGTAAGACAAGCCTCTGCCATCTGACTTAAACTGGGAGCCAAAGGCCTGGGCAAAGTTTTCAATCTGGTAGGAAGGCTTAGAGGAGTCCAGAGAGGCCAGATCCTGCGAGGGGGCCAGAGGGTAGGCTGCCGCTGTACCATTTTTGACAGGCGGGTGGTCCTTCTGGCTACTCAGGTCAGATGGGCTGATCTGGTAGGATGAAGGGGGAGTGGAGGAGTGCTGTTTCTCCATCTGTTCGGTGAGCTCCTGAGAAGGGGTGAGCTGCTGGTGTGTGGAGGCCTCCAGGCTGCCCAGGTGGAAGCTGTGCTGTGGTGAGGAGCCTGTCAGCATCGCAAAGTGAGACTTTGGCACAGAGGAGGACAGCGAAGACAGCGACTGGCCAAACCCGCACTCCAGTGGGGACGTAGTGTAGATGTTCTTGTCAGCGTAGATGGGATTTCCTGGGTGGGAACCAGTGAAGGGTCCTGAGGCAGGAGGTCCCAGAGGGAAGCCTGCACTGTGGCTGGTGCGCTCCAAAGCTTGCAGCAGGAAGCGGGAGTATTCGTGCATCATCACAGTCTTGTCTCCTGATGGGCTGGGTGTGTTGGTGTTGTGGCTGATGTCAGCACCATCAGATGTGGTAGGGTTCAGTGCCACATGTTGGTCATTGATGTCAAAGTGAACATCCTGGTGTGAGTTATCAGGTTTCTGGGCATAATGGTCCAGCAGACTCTGCAACACTTCATCAGGGATCCCTGACTTGTCAAGACTAAGAGAAGCATCGCTGTCCATTACACCAGAAATGCCACCCTGGATTACAGAAGGCTGGGAAGACAAGTGGATGCTTACATCATACTCAGTGCTAGATCCTCCAGCTACAGGAGGTCCCGAGGCGTTTGCATTGTTTGCTGCTTGAAGGTAGCGACGCTTCTTCAGAAACTGCATGGCGTCATCGTAATTGCTGCTGGTGGGTCCGACTTTAGCCCCATTACCCTGCAGGAGCCCAAGGCCATCCATACCCCCACCCTGCTCCAACGTACCTGCTTTGACCTGTCCCAGACCTGCTTTATCCAAGCCCTTACGATTGGCCTTTTTGAATGCCATCTTTGGAGCTTGGCCGTTGTGGCCTTGTTGCATTCTAGGGTCTGGCTCAGTAGAGGAAGAAACCGCTTGATTCTCCAGTGAGTATTCATGGATAGTATAGCCTCCAGATACAGCCCCATGCATGTGGGATGCCCTCAACCCCCCTCCATCTCCCTTCTTCTTTTTGCGCTCCCCACCCTCTCCAGAATTTTTAGACCTTCCCCTCTTCCTACCGCCACTCCCAGCATTTCCCTGAGTGATCCCATAGCTGCCATTACCCATTTCTACACAACTCAAGTCCATCATCCCAGGATCCAGCCCCTTCTTTATGGCTTCTCCACAGGTTCGCTTGTGCTTAAGCAGTCGGTCTGTCCGAGAAAAATACTGAAACAACACGAGTTGCATTTAAAAATGACTCAACTTATTTAAAAATAACAACAGTACCAATAAACCCTTTTGATGGATAGCAAAGAGGAGGCTTTAATTAGTTCACAAACCTGTTGGCAGGTCTCACATCTGTACGGCTTTTCTCCACTGTGCGTCCTTTTGTGTCTTTCCATGTGGTATTTCTGAATAAACCGCATGTTGCACTGGTCACAGCTAAATGGCTTCTCTCCTGTTACACAAAAACAGCCACTCTATAGGTTAGTCATCCTTTAGTGTGGTAAAAAACACATAATGACTCTTGAGTTTGCATTAGGCCCCTGGGTCATATGATTAGTTGTCATAAATTACTCACCACTGTGGATTTTCTCGTGTCGCTGGAGAAGGTACTTCTGAATGAAACTCATGTTGCACTGAGTGCATCTAAAGGGTCTTTCACCTGAAATAAGATCACATGATCACTGTGATGTTATAATAACTCATGTGATATAGTTCTTTAAAGCAGGATATACACATAACACGTACCCATGCACAACTTACGCAATTGAGGACAGTATTTACAAGCCGTCTGTGTGTCATAAAGGTGTTTATTCAACTTTGGCAGTCTGGCAGCTTGAACAAATACCTGGCTCACTCAACACAAAATGTGTGTGTGTGGGTGTGTCACTGCTATTGCAACACACAGCATTGGATTTCAGAGGTGCTTCCCATATCTTATTCTCTCAATTTTGCCTCTTAGAGTAAAGCCCATTGTTTTAAGGAGGAGAGAAAGAAAAACTTCTTCTCTAACTTTTCTTTTTATAAAAGGCATGTATGAGGTCTGTTTATTAAAAAGGAAGCAGCGCACAAAAATCAAAGACTATTCTCAATTTAAATTTATTCAAGTATGACAAATCTCAACTTAAAAATCCTCTTCCTGAAAATACAGAGTGACTTTCAGCACACCTGCCACTTTTAGAAAGTGCTGTGGAAGTCCTGATCTGACCTCTTGTACTTATGCCTCTGCAATCTCCACTAGTGTACCCCCATTAAGCCAAAACACTAAATGTGAATTTCATTTTCAAGGAAGGAGGAAAATTTGGAGAATCAGCTGGATGTTTGTGCAGGTCAAAAACTTCTGCGCTTTAGACCCACCTCATGTTGGTACACACAATCCATGATACGGACATAATTAAGTGACACAAAGTGGACGGATGGGGAGATATGTAAGGTACACCTTAGTGTGTAGTAGAACTCTGCACTGTCAGCCTTACCTCTGTAGATTAACTCACGAAGCAAAAATCCCATTAATGACATAATGCTTATGGTATGCTCTTCATCAAATGTGCCACCTTAAAGCTTGGACTCCTCAACAGAAAACTCCTAAAATCTGCCCCTTCTGCACTTGGCACTTCAGGGATGATCTTCCACATCAAATTCTACAATAGAAATTTGGGTTTTCTCGCTGTACACCCCAAAGGAGATCTGGCACATTAACACTAGCTCCTGGCCTGCTCTTTTAATCAATTTTCTATAGTCTATGACGATACATTTATCACACCACAGCTAAACATTCAGACAAAGAGCAAACAAAGGAAATAAAACATTTCTCAGACAAGGTCTGGAGGAGCCAAATTATATTTTACTTGATAACGAGACAGAAAGATTAACCAGCATGTGCACTTATGCACACATACAGGGATTTTATTTTTATTTACAGGAACTTCAATCAGCAAATGGATTAAGCATTATTGTAACCAGAAACTGTAATATAAAACCTTAAAAGAAGATGGATTTAATTTAGAAGTGGCAGCTAGTGCGATCATGTGCCCTTGTAAGCAGCAAACAACACATTTACAATTAAGCTTAATTATAGAAAAAAGGCATGGGTTCCCTTATGATGAGTAGTGATAAAAGGCTGTACAGGTAGAGGATAGGCCTCGCATCATATTTGTGTTTGCCTTTCACGAACAAAGAGCATCTAAAACAACCTGAATGTTAGGATAGCAGTGAAGCTCATGGCCTGGGATAACCTCTATTAAATGAAGCAAATTCAATAGATTTGATTAATCCAAAGCACTTAGTAAATACTGGACAAAGAACTATTTGAAGATAATATTACAGTAGAAAAGCAATAAGCTACGATGCATGGGCCAATGCAGCATCTGCCAAATGACATCATCATTTCCTTCCTTGTATTTATTGTGCTAACCACTGAGAACCCACAAGGAAATGCACAGAGCAGAAAAATCTAAGCACTGTGGTGAAATCGACACACTACAATACCTGTGTGAATGAGAACGTGTCTGCGTAGATGATAGGAGCTTCTGAAGGATGCATTGCAATGTTCACACATGTGAGGCCTGGATCCTGGAGACAGGTTACCTCCATCTGCATCCAGCATCACTGACTGCTATAGAACAATACAAGAGAGAGGGGGATGGGTAACAATTAGCCATCTTTCTCTAGATACATTCTCTATAGAATGTATCTAAAATATCACTGTGAAAAATATTGCACTTTTTTGCAATTGGTAAAATCTTCTAACTCAAAATGCATAATCTATTTTTTCAACATTAAACTCAACTTGTACTTAAAGCTCCATGTAACTCACAACAGAATTGAAATGAAACAGATGTTTGTAAACACATTGAAATCTCTGGTCCAGTAACAAAACTGTATTAAATGTAAAGCGATTGTATTACTTCACTTTGCATTGCTTTGATTAAAATTGATTGAAATAGACAAAATACTTTGTGCCAATCATTTTTTATGCACCCCCCCCCCGACATTCTTTTTTTTTTGTTTCTGCCTAAAGCAAATTAGCACACTTGTATGTTCTTTGTGATAATTATTGATGTGATGAGGACTAACTAAAATATGGTTGCATTCACAGTTTTATAAATACAAGACAAACCTTTGCGTCACTTCTCTTCTTTCTTGGTTTACCCTCCTGTCCATCACCATTTGACCTTCGACCTTTTTTCCCAGTGGGCTCCTTTTCTAACTGACTTGGCAGCTGTGAGGATGACAATAGGAGAGGGAGAGGGCCGTGAGAGCGAGCCATGACAAGAAAAATCACTTGATTGAAGGTTAAAGGCCTGCAGTCTCAAACTATCACGCAAACAGATCCACGTTTGCTGCTCATGCAAACAAACAAAACGCTTGGACAATCTCTTGTAATTGTCTCTTGGAAAGTGATTGCGCAAGATGTGGTTCTAGTGGGCAGAATTTATTGTTCTTTTATGGTTTAGCAGCCTCTAACTCACCACTTTTCATCTACTATTCTTACGAAACTGCACACTTTGCAAACTAAACATTCAAAATGACAACTTCTTAGTAAACTTCACTGCAACGAATGGCATTAATTCAGAGAACAGGAAAATGAGTGCCTTTTCTTCTATTTGTTTGCCTTCCTGCCCTGCAATTTCTTTCCCAGTAAGCACACTACTCTCCTCACTGCCATATGGAGGCTGATGGGACAAATGTGGGTGCACCTGCTGTTTTCAAATCAGCCCAGTCTTTAGGTCAATCTGGGGAAAGTCCAACCAAAATAAAAAGGGTCCAATTTTGTCTAGACTATGGAGTATTTAAAAGACAACATTTTGTAGGCATTGGTTTAATACCAGAAAAGGAAAAAAACATCTGGTAAAATGTAAATATTTTTCACTATCTTATGATAATTATTAAGCAATTTCTTTTTTTTTCTTTTTTAAGTATTACATTTATAAAACACTCTTTTATTGCAACTTGCTATGAAAATCTGTGGATTCTAAAGGCTCCCAATGTTGTGTAACAAAAAATGTTAAACATCAATTTTAAATGAATGCTGCTCAATGAAGACAATAATTGGCTGTTTTTCCATAAACAACACTGGCGAACTCTGACGGCTTGCTATTGTTAGGAGAACATGGATGTGTATATTTGTATCTGAATGAACACAAAGGAGATCTGAAATGAAGCACGTGCTCAAACAAGACAGCTGTGTCCTCGCCACGACGTTCTCATTCATGCCGAGGCTGGATGACGTCACCCTTCTAACCAGAAAGAGAAGCTACTTTGCATTTCATGCCGTCAATAGATTTAACGCCATATAACTAGTTTCCGTCAGGCTCTTCCACCTCAGGTTTTTCAGCTTATGACGTGCTTGACAACACAGCAGCGCTACTTGGGGATCAGACTATCCAAGACCCAAAAACACACTCATGATCAAATGCATATTACCATTTTTCTCTAATGTACGTTCCCAATATTATATTATTTACTCATCAAAACCACATGAGGCCATCTTATGATTAGAACACAAACAATTAAGGATTTTATGCTCAATTTCTTTGTTATATATGGTGTAAAATTCAATATTTCTAAATGTTATTGCAAATCTTTGTTTTGGTACATTCGGGGGTAATAAATTCAGAAAATAACGCAAGTGATTGTTCTCTTGTTTTGTCCAGCGAAGGCTCAAAAATGCTTCAAGAAAAACCATTGATTACTTTAATAAATTAAATGACTTTTTAAAATATTTGTAGCTATAACCTGATAATGGGAAGAAATTCAACTTTTAAAAAAAATCATACACATGTATGACTCACTTACAAAACTGCTAGAAATGAATCACAGTCTGCAATCCTCTCAGAAATACTTACACTGCCCATGTTGAGATCGTGCACCAATAAATCTTGGTTGTTACCAACATTTACCTCCAGCAGCTCTGTGCTCTTTACCAGGCCACCAGGGTAGAGAGGCAAGCGATAATCGTGCTCTGTCAGCTTCTCCTGCTTGATACCTATAGTGTGAACATAGTCTCCCACACCTGCACATCCCAGGCTGCCAGCCTGGTTGTCCATGGTGCAATCAGGGGAGTCACGCTCCTTCTTCAGGATCATTTCTTGAGGTGGAAGGTCCTGCATTACGGAATGGGCAGCCAGCCGTGTGAAGCTGGTGACAGGTGGGAGATGGCTGAACATAATCATGCCTGCTCCAAAACTGGAGTCCATGCTCCCGTTGCAGCGCAGGAATTCATTCCCTAGTTTGTCTTGAATGATGCTCATGGTGAAGGCTGGCGGGCAGGAAAACTATGTGGTGAAAATCAATGTGATCCTGTGAGGAAAAGAATGACAGCAGGACTATAATATTACATAATCACAATAAACTTTAAAGGATAACTATAACTAGTTATCAGGATGTGAGGACATACAAATAATAGTCAATAGACAACAGTTATGGAGCCGGTTAAGCTTAGCCTACAGGAATCGGTGTCACGGTCTCTGATCTCACAACTAGACGCTTAGTCGGATTAAAGTGACGATTTGTGGGTCAACAAAAGGCTACAGTCTCGAACAATGACAAGTGCAAATAAGCTGGTGGTACACTGTGCAAAATTCTTTTCCCAATTACTGTGTGCGTGCTCGATATTTTACAGGACAAAAAGGTGACAGCCAGAGCTGTTCTGGCCACAACATGAGAAGAGGGGACAGGATTGAACTTGTATGTTAATCTGTTTGATGGTGCTGTCTGACCCAGTCATCCTATTTGAATGAGCTTATCCGCCAACGAGAGCTCACACGGGCTGTATTAGAAAGACTGATGGTGTAATTACGTGGCTGCTACATAAACAACAGCAACCAAGGGGAACAGATCAGAGCACATGCTAGTATGCCAGTTTTGATCATAGTGAGGATAATGCATGAACACAGGACCCGTTTATTATCTGACCCACCGTGTACTAGACCACAAAGCAAGTTCCATCACAGAGAGCTCCAGGTAGTATTTCCAGTTTCTGAAACCAGAATGGGATGTTTACATCTAACACATAACCAAGATATTAGTGTGCATGTAAACATACTCAGGCTGGAGCCAAATGCACGCATCTGAACAAGATCAGGAGTTAAAACGTCATTATTTACATCCAAATCTAATTTTACCAATATTTGCTAAGATGTCTGTTTACATTATGATTCCCAGGATAATAATACAACCGGACAAAACTACAATTATATGTTGAACATGTCTCTCACCACTCCGCGAGTGCTTTCTGCCTGCAGCCTCTTGGGGTACGCTAGCAGAAATAACCAACTCAGCTAGCAAAAATCCAACTTTGTAAATAAAATAAATAAATAAGTAAAACAAACTTAGTCGAAGTACTTATCTATGTTTTTTTTTATGCGCTTAAGCAGATAAACTGTGTGCTCCCATATGGACATTTAGGAAAACTACCGTTCGTCTTCTTTGAAATTAGCTCCCTGGCTAACCATCTGGCTAACGACTCTTGCGGGGCCCTTCTTTGTGATGCAGGAGCAGGCAATAATTAATATCGCCATGCAATAACAGCAAGCAGATTTACGATGAGAAAAACGCCGAATGATGCGAATACGAACAGGAAAACGACTGTAACACGAAGAGAGACATTTCTTTCAAAGCATCTGAACAAAGTTAGTTAAGTACTTTTTCTTAACGCTGGGTTTGAATATTTGAATTAGAGGCAGGTATCACCACAGAGGTACACACAAGCCAAACTAAATCTGTGAGGTGGAGAAATGATCAAGGACAAAAGCTGTTTTGAGTAGGAACATGAAATAAATGACTACAACTTACATCGTGTGCTATTATTGAGGGGCTTCTTTAAATGTTGGCTTTGTTTCCCGGACAGTTAACCGATTGTAAACGATGGGAGCGACAACACGGGCATGACCCATAACAAACGGCCCACACAACCCCAGCGAACAATGATGCTCGCCCGACTAGCCGAGACGGCTAACTTAGCCGCTAACTAGCGGTAACGTTGCTGCGCTCCGCTTTGTTGTCTGTCCCGTACGAGGAGTTCAACCACAGCTCCCGCCGACCCTGTAACCAAAGTTGGATTTTATAAATTTATCTTACCGGTGCAGGACCATGACCCTGCTGCTTTGGCTCGCGTGGTTTACCCTCAGCTGTCCGTTTTTTAATATCTAGAGCCAAAACATTGTTCTCCCGCAGCTGCTGGGTTCTTCCATCTTTGCTCGGCGCGGAGCATTCTGGGTCTCGCAGGCGGACGCGTCCTAAACACAGAAAAAACAAACCACCTCCTATGTTCACGTACAGCCTACCGTACTAGTATTTCGGTTTTCACTTTCACATCACTCATTGTCTTAAAAAACAACAACCTTCAAAATAAACCTTATTAGTTTTTGAGAATCCGCTATAATTAATGTATTTTATGTAAAAGTATCAAACAGACACCATTTCAACTTCTGTATAAGCCTTTGTTTTAACACCTTTAAATTCTGAAGGTATTACAAAATAGCCAGATAGGACAGAAGAATATAGATTGGTAAAGTGCCACAGTTACCAAAAACAGTTCAGAATAATGTTTTCAAAAGCAAGTAGAAAATCTACTGGAGTTTTCTTTCTAAAAAAGCACTAAATAAATAAGTAATTGCAAAATATGTGTTCAGAACAAATGCTAAAGCACCGACTGTAAGCAAGAGTACTGACTTCAGACTGCCATTAGGGTATGTAAAAATACATGGTGTGAAGTAGCCTATACACAGTTAAATGCACTAAGATAAATAGCAGCCCTTTCTTAAAATTTCAAACCAGTAGACTGTGAATACACAATAGGACTCTCCTTACAGCAGAATACTGTTATACAGTATATTAATATCTAGTAAACAAAATCTTAAACACTACTCTCTCAGTACCTTAAGTAGGTACAGAATTTACATATGACATGTAGTGGAGTGACATTAACTAGTAGGTAGAGGAACAAGTGCGTCAGTACATATCAATAAATATTCTACCTCAGTTTCTGAAAATATTGAGCACTAAAGTGGAAAAGTGGTAGAACACCCATCAGTTTTCAACTTTTGTTTTCAATAAATCTTCCTTAGGTTCACATATCGGAGGCTGCTCTTTCACAGCGTGTCTCAGATGCTCAGCTCAGCGTTTTAAAGGGACCATGACAGATGTGCTTGGAAGCTCTCAGATCTGCTGGATGAATGATTTTGTATACATCTAAAAGGACATCAGAGTTTGTCCTCGCACCCTCTGCTCCTAATTGCCTTCACTAATGAACCAATTAATTCAGAGAGTGGGGTACAATGAAAATGCAGAGAGTGGAAAAACGCAAAAAAGGTCAGGGAATGGATTTTTGATGTCTCTGATCTTTACATATATCAAAATTGACAACCCACACGGCTGACAGTGATATCTTTGAAATCACTCTCATCTCAGAGTGTTTAAATATGCATGGCGTTGATGTCGGCCTGATGAGCCCAGTCTAGTAGAAAATTAGTCATTAGAATTTGAGAATTTGCATTTGTTTCAAACCAGATAATTAAATGAATAATAAATTAATTTGATTATTTAAGCATACCGTGTTAAGTAGTGACAACCATATGATTAAAGCACAAAAAATAAAAATAAAAGAATTATGGGGGCAATGCAAAAATTATCAATACAATGGTCAGATATAATGTTAGGTAAATAGGAAGGTTGTTCCAAATTCAAACAACCTTGGATTTATAACTTTATAATAAGTTTAACATTAATTTATGTTTCGTTCCAAAAATGGTGAACTATTCCTTTAAACTATACTTCACTCACTCACTTCGCTTGCAGACAGTGAGGAGACACCCTGGAACTATATGGTGTAAATACAAAGTCATGTTTTGAATCTTCAATGTCAGTCTAAGCTAATGTTTGGAAACATCAATGTATGGCTCAACTTTCCCGCAGTGTCTACTATCAGCTGAGTGTTTGGGACATTAGGGTCAGAGACATTAGGACTCCTGTTCAATGAATGCCCTCGTTGTGGAGGAGACACAAGAGTGAGCGTGTCTGAACCTGAAGAAGGGTGGAACACGAGAAAAAAAAACAACCAATCTGACATTTTCATCTCAAGCAATTTGTGTATCTTATGACACAGATGGTTAGCACTTCTAAATGCTCATTAATAATTCATCCTGTGCTGCACGTCTTTGTTTCCTTCTTTCTCTGCAGCATGTACCTCAGCCCTGAACACATATGCACACAGTCTGGATGTTATCGCCAATATCGCCTCTATTCTAATGATGGAAGCCAAAAAGAAGAAGTGCAGAGCTAAGGGCCAAGGTTTGGAGATTTCCTTTGTTGTGCTGATTTCAATTCCTCTCACTGGGAAAGCCCGATGCCTTCACATAACAGATGGCGATCCTGGCTGTCTGCACTCTAATCCTCCATTGTCACGAGGGTCACAGCTGTATATGAATTCACCCTATTGAAACAAGTCCCTCATTAGTTAATCTGTGCAGCTGGTATATTATATATTGATTTTAAAAGAGATATATTTGCTCATTTGAAACAAATCAGAAAACACTATCAATACTAAACCCACACTATTATGTGTTACAGACTCCAGTATATATTTATGCTTGTTAAGATAAAGATTTTAACCAGCCAATCCTAGCAGACGGATATAATATAAAACCCATAATTTCTATTTCTATCTATTATGATCTATCTATTCTGAGTTTTCCCGACCAGGGTGGAGATGTATGATCACATGACAAGTTTACTGTGAAATTAATTCCCAAGAATCTAAAACTGTCCATCTCAGCTTCACCGTCTTTGCCTTTTATCGATTGCCTGTTTAGTTTTGTTGATGTTAAGCAGCATCACACAGAAAGATCACTGATGATGATGATGCTTTCTGCAAACTTCCCAGTGTTGCCTCCATGTCTGGGCATGCAGTCATTGATGTGCAGCGTGAACAGGAGGTAACTGAGCACCTAAACCGCGGGGGCTGTTGAGTGGGGAAGATGTGATTGCCAAGCCAAAGTGTGTGCGGTCTGTGTGTAAGGAAGACCAATAACCAATTCCAGGGAATAGCACTCAAGCTCAGAATGCTAATCAGTGTGGCAGCATTGAATATAGAGCTGAGAGCAACAGCTTTCTAATGTAGGTGTTGTTATTTTCAAGGTGTACGAGGACAGCTCAGCTCAGCAGATGCAGAGGCTGCCTGGGGATGGTCACCAAGAGGCATCTTTGTTACCTTAATAGAGACTGGTGCTGGCTGCTTTCTTTTAATTTTCATTCTTAACATTAAGCTGAGTAAAACATTTGCTGCCAGTAGCATCTCATTAATCACAGCAAGTGCTATCAATCTTTTCATTTAATTCGCAGCACAAATATGAGCAAGCAAACATTTTTTTTTACAATAAACATTTGCTTAGCACAACATTATCAGGCAGGGCCATAATAACTTATTTTCAAAGGCTCCGTGTTGACTGGAGTCATTTAAAGTTGTTTCAAAAGCTTTTTTCTGAATCACCCAGAACAGCTGCTCCTTTCAACAGTGCGAGTCAGCACAGCGCTACTTTTAACTGATCATAAATGAGCCATTCTGTTTTTGGTTTTTGTTTTTCATCTCATCAGAAATCTGTTTGAAGGAGTTTCTATTGTCCTGGTTTGTTCATGTGCTTTGATATAAAGATAAAATGCAACACCTGTGACGTGTACAAACTTTTCTCACTTTTAGTTTCCAAGCTAACGTGCTCATAATGAGAATAATTATTATTATTCTAATAAAAATGTACCTTTCAAAACAAATATCAGTTGGAAAATTGCATTTTAAATTCCATTTTGTTGCATCATGCCAGTTTTATCACCCACAGCTGGGACTGTGGAGCAGGTTTGCCTTTTACTATAACTAAGAGGTGAAACACTTTAACATACCAGGCAATTTAATGTCTACAAGAATTTGCCTTTATCACAAGAAATATTTCAGAGTGTTCCAGAAGTACTCTCAAGTGCTTTTGATAACTGCTCTTTTGTTCATCCTGGTCTGCCTTCTCTCTCATCCCTTTCTTGCATTTGTGACCTGAAGATAGTGCAGAGTCGTCTTTTTCTGTGTTCAAATGATTAAGCTTTCAGTTTGCCATTAATTCTCCTCAAATTCTGTTAGATTTTTCCATTAGGAGGAATCTCAGCATAATATAAAGCAGACTCTAATACTGCACAATAGTCACTCTGAGTAAAAATGCTGAAGAACTGACACTACAAATGAAATCCTTGATGTGGTGAATATAAAGCCTTTATCATTATGGCTCACTTCACAGAACAGCACAAATCTATAGGCATGTCTTAAAACATAACAGCCTGGATTATGTGCAGTTTCATGCCTGTAAATTCAGACAACATTCAGTCATCGTATTTGACCGTACAAATTTCAGTACTTACTTCAACATCTGTGAACAGAGTGTTTCCTTTAACCTGCACATTGTGCAAAATTTCTTGGATTCGTTTCTGTCATTATGTGATTTTTGTCAAAATTGGGTACATCCTGTTTGTTGTTCATTTGCTATGTGCAGCCTGGAATATTGTAATACCTTATCATTTGGTTGTTCGAAAATGCTCCTTAAAACTCCTTAATTGGATCCACAATGCCACAGCGAGATTACTGACAGGTGCTAGAAAGAGCACTTGTGCATCTCTGAAACTCACTACTCTGGTGTACCTAATATGAGGGCTGTAATATGTAGTTAATTTCCTTTCTGTTAAATGCAAAATTGAATTGAAGTCACTTACAAATTATGTATCTTACTGAGTATCTCAGCCTGCAGTCTTCTGTGTCAGACTGCAGGCTTACTTGTATTTCAAAACATTTCTAAAAGGAGAATGTGAGGCAGAACCTTCAGGCCCTTCTTCCCAGTTTAAGTTCAGGAGACAGGCACCCTCTCTACTTTTTAAGATTAGCCTTAAAACTTTCCTTTTTGATAAGGTTTATAGTTGGGGCTGGGTCAGGTGACCCTGAACCATCCCTTAGGTGTGGGGATTTTCCGTGATGCACTGAACATTTCTCCGTCACATGGCTGTTTTCACTCTGTGCATGCTGTGCTTTTGTTTGCCATTACTGCATGTCACTAACTTTTGTCTGTTCCTGCTTTGTCTTGATTGTTTATATATCTATGCTCCTTTTCTGTCTTCTCTTCCTTCCTGTTCAAAGGAAATTTTCCTTTCCACAGTAACAAAGTGCTTGGCTCTCTCTAATATTGTAGGATCTTTAACTTGCAACATGAAGTACCCTAAAATTACTTGTGTTTGTCTGCACTATTTATGCTACCGGTGCTATAGAACCAAACTATCGGATATTCTGACTATAACAGATATTAAATAACTATAATATTTAAAATTATGTGTTACAAATTTTTGCCTGTGAGACATGATGCAGTTACTTTGGTCCCCAACTAAGTGCACTTTAACCAGGCATGACGATGTCTTGGAGCAGGGGTGTAAACCGACTTATTTCACCAAAAGAGTAAATAAAGAATGATGTTCAAAGCAAGTATTGGCTGCCTTAAAATTGAAAAACAGAAAGTAAAGAATAGCTGTGGGCTGTCTGAAGAGAACAGCGTGATCCTAATTTCATCAGCTTATCTTTACTTTTCCATGTATATTAGCATCTGGGATAGTAATTTGCATTTCAACATTGCAGACGTTGTTTTATAGGGCAGGGAAAGGTAGAAAAAAAGTGAGTCTATCTGTCAGTATGCTGTGAGGTGAGAATAGTGGGAAGAATTGTCTTGCCTCTCGCCGAGGGCCCTACATCTCTCAAGTTGGGCCATTATCGAGCTGATATTGTGTTTGTCTAAACTTAGCATAATAAAACCCCTCAGCTTTTCTTACCTTTGTTTTCAAAATGAGAGAACTTTTATTGTCACCAAAGGGACAATAGAGGTGCTTTTGACAAACAACAACAAAACAGCAGCCATCAGGTAAACCCATAGTACAAAAGAACAGATCATAAAAGAAAAATAAAGCTGTAGAAGCTGTTACTTAACAAATCATTAAAGGGGATTGACTTATACAAAGACAAACAATAGATACAGAACACGTGTTGGGCAAAAATATACTCATGTTACAGTGACAAAGTAATTTCAAATGAGCTAGAACAAGCGCATCTATGCTATCTTAGTCTCTTCTTGAGGTTGTGATGAATGATAACTTGAGCAGTCAGATTTCTGCTCTGAGTACTTGTTTCTACTGATTATGGCTGAACAGAAATCTTTGAACTGTCAGAGCAAGAGCAGGTTGTGCTTTTTTCTATCCAATTTTCTCAAAATAATTGAAGGGAAGAATCACAAAACACCCCTCTGTTCCATGCTACATGCCTACATCTACTTGAAAATTTACAATATTTAAAGCAGGATTTCTTGCTGGACGGTTTCCTTAGACTGGATTCATTTTAGCTACTTAAAATTGCACTTTTTGTCTGGTGCCATATATTTTTTAAAATCTTTTTTGTTCCGCTGTCATGCCTACCAGAAGCAATAACTAAAAAGTCCACAGGGATCAAAAACCAAAAAATCAAGTTCCAGAGAAATCAGGCCATTACATCATTTATTGATTAAGTGCTAAAAATACATTGAAAGAGGAACAAAGTGATTATAGATCTTGTTTTTCAGAGGGCACAGCTCTTTTATATCAGAAATACTCCTACTGGGGTCTCAACACGAATGAAAGGGCTGAACAAAGACACTTGAGGTGAGGGTTGGTTGGAGAACTATGCTATCTGTGTGACTCAAAGTGTGATTATGCATTAGTTAATAATGATAATGGCACTTGCATGAAGTGCAGACCTTTTGTGGCTTTGATTAAAATGAGGCCAAAAGGGAACCAAGAATGGTCATCTCTCAAAATGTCCTAAACCCATGCAATGTCTTCAGCATAAAAACTGACATTCAAGAAGAATATTTAACACATAAACCGCTACTCCATTTGTCTTTTAAGTTGCTCTTAATTTACTAGTTATATCTCAGATTATTAGGTTTTTAGCAATTTGGCACAGGCTAGCAGAAGACCAAATATTATCAGCAGTTATGTTAGTGATACCCTAGCCCCCATGTTGCCCAGTCCACTAAAATAAATATGTATGTATGTTATCTATCCAGTAGATGGCACAATCCAACTTTAAAGCACACAATGTCTCCAGTCTCTTTACTTTGTGTGGCTGTGTGTCTCAGTGCAGACGCAGGATAAGCAGCTGTAATATAAAGGCAATATGACTACTCAAAGGGAATCAATGAATAAAATAACCAAAGCTTTGATGAATATATCAATTAAGCCTCACACTGACTACCTGTATGACTGAACTAGACAGAAAAGAGTCAAACTGAACGCCTCCCTCCATCTCTCTCTTACACACAAACGCCTTCTTGTGTAACTCTATCCTCATCTCTCCCTGCCCCTTCCCTCCCTCTCTTCACATCTCTCCCTCTTCCGTTTTTTTTCCCAATTCTTTACAGCCCACCAGAGGCTGTGAATGGTAGACAACTCATCGTATTTCGTTCCACTGGCGAGTATCACACCAGTTAGAGTGTGGGGAGGCTGAGCAGAGCGCACAGCTACAGTCAGCGATCCTCAGATGTCATGTAAAGTAACTGGCAGAACAGTGGAAATTTTTATCTGAGAGGATGATGACTGTGCTTTAAAAGCACTGAAATACGCACGATTCTTTTTTTTTTTATTCATAGGATTTCATGTGCGCGCTAAAGTGGCCATGGCGCATTTTACGCACTACAGGTAACCAGTGTTTTGGAGGCTAAAACAACCAAAGCATGGATTAAACTGCAAGTATTTTTCCCCACTTTCTTCAGCAGAGCTGAAATGGCGGCACTTCGTAGAAAATTTGGCGAAGATTATCAGGTGGTTAACACAAATCGGGCTTCATCTTTTTCTGCTCCGGTCAAGAAAAAACGCCAGCGTTTCGTGGAGAAGAACGGTCGCTGCAATGTGCAGCACGGAAACCTCGGTGGAGAGACCAGCAGATACCTCTCTGACCTGTTCACCACTTTGGTAGACTTAAAGTGGCGATGGAACCTACTGATCTTCATCCTAACTTACACCATCGCATGGCTGGTCATGGCATCGATGTGGTGGGTCATTGCGTACATCAGAGGAGATTTAAATCATGGCCACGACTCATCCTACACCCCCTGTGTGGCCAATGTTTACAACTTCCCCTCAGCTTTTCTGTTCTTCATCGAGACTGAGGCCACAATTGGTTACGGCTACCGGTACATTACAGAGAAGTGCCCGGAGGGCATAATCCTTTTCTTGTTCCAATCGCTGCTGGGCTCCATAGTGGACGCTTTTCTCATCGGTTGTATGTTCATAAAAATGTCCCAACCCAAGAAACGCGCAGAAACGCTCATGTTCAGTCAGGATGCGGTGATTTCTCTGCGAGACGGCAAACTGTGCCTCATGTTCCGTGTGGGCAACCTACGGAACAGTCACATGGTGTCCGCACAGATCAGGTGCAAGCTTATAAAGGTAAGCTTAATATTGACACACTCGGCTAATAACATTAAAATAAATTTAAAAAGAAGCTAAATCTGCAAGAGTAAGAGCAGTTCGTTTTAGACCACATCTCCTTTCATCAGTAAAGCAAATTATGACTTTGAAATAGATGCAATGTAGTTAACTTACACTAACTTATTAGACTCCCTGCTGATACACTGGAGCTTCAGCAGCACTGCCTTATCTCATCAGCGTGGAGCACTTTCTTTGAAGGCTGGCATCCCGTGTTTTGTTTGTTTTTTACTTTCCTTAAGCTTCCACGGTCATTTATTTTAAGCGTGACTGCACACTTGAATGACAGCTTGCATCGCTGAATCTCTAACCTAAGCCCACGAGGCCAAAGACAAGCTGCAAATTGCTCAAGTATATATCAAGTACAGTGGGGCAAAAAAGTATTTAGTCAGCCACCGATTGTGCAAGTTCCCCCACTTAAAATGATGACAGAGGTCAGTAATTTGCACCAGAGGTACACTTCAACTGTGAGAGACAGAATGTGAAAAAAAAATCCATGAATCCACATGGTAGGATTTGTAAAGAATTTATTGTAAATTAGGGTGGAAAATAAGTATTTGGTCACCTCAAACAAGGAAAATCTCTGGCTCTCACAGACCTGTAACGTCTTCTGTAAGAAGCTTTTCTGTCCCCCACTCGTTACCTGTATGAATGGCACCTGTTTGAACTCATCATCTGTATAAAAGACACCTGTCCACAGCCTCAAACAGTCAGACTCCAAACTCCGCCATGGCCAAGACCAAAGAGCTTTCGAAGGACACCAGGAAAAGTATTGTAGACCTGCACCAGACTGGGAAGAGTGAATCTACAATAGGCAAGCAGCTTGGTGTGAAAAAATCAACTGTGGGAGCAATCATCAGAAAATGGAAGACATACAAGACCACTGATAATCTCCCTCGATCTGGGGCTCCACGCAAGATCTCATCCCGTGGGGTCAAAATGATCATGAGAACGGTGAGCAAAGATCCCAGAACCACACGGGGGGACCTGGTGAATGACCTGCAGAGAGCTGGGACCAAAGTAACAAAGGTCACCATCAGTAACACACTACAACGGCAGGGAATCAAATCCCGCAGTGCCAGACGTGTTCCGCTGCTGAAGCCAGTGCATGTCCAGGCCCGTCTGAAGTTTGCCAGAGAGCACATGGATGATACAGCAGAGGATTGGGAGAATGTCATGTGGTCAGATGAAACCAAAGTAGAACTTTTTGGTATAAACTCAACTCGTCGTGTTTGGAGGAAGAAGAATACTGAGTTGCATCCCAAGAACACCATACCTACTGTGAAGCATGGGGGTGGAAACATCATGCTATGGGGCTGTTTTTCTGCCAAGGGGACAGGACGACTGATCCGTGTTAAGGACAGAATGAATGGGGCCATGTATCGTGAGATTTTGAGCCAAAACCTCCTTCCATCAGTGAGAACTTTGAAGATGAAACGAGGCTGGGTCTTCCAACATGACAATGATCCAAAACACACCGCCCGGGCAACAAAGGAGTGGCTCCGTAAGAAGCATTTGAAAGTCCTGGAGTGGCCTAGCCAGTCTCCAGACCTCAACCCCATAGAAAATCTGTGGCGGGAGTTGAAAGTCCGTGTTGCTCGGCGACAGCCCCAAAACATCACTGCTCTCGAGAAGATCTGCATGGAGGAATGGGCCAAAATACCAGCTACTGTGTGTGCAAACCTGGTAAAGACCTATAGTAAACGTTTGACCTCTGTTATTGCCAACAAAGGTTATGTTACAAAGTATTGAGTTGTATTTTTGTTATTGACCAAATACTTATTTTCCACCCTGATTTACGAATAAATTCTTTACAAATCCTACCATGTGGATTCATGGATTTTTTTTTTTCACATTCTGTCTCTCACAGTTGAAGTGTACCTCTGGTGCAAATTACTGACCTCTGTCATCATTTTAAGTGGGGGAACTTGCACAATCGGTGGCTGACTAAATACTTTTTTGCCCCACTGTATATATGGTGAAGCTGAGCAGCAGCCAGATGGGTGCCTCACAAACCACTGAAATAAGAGAGAAAATACTGTGTTGTCTTTGTGGGGAGGGCTGCAGTGTGCATGGTCCCTACTGTGTCCAGCATCAGCTCCGCTTCAACTGGTGACAAATGGGCAGATAGAAGTGTATCAGTAAGCAGATGTGACAGACAGATGCCCCTCCCCCTTGTGTTTGATAGAAAGTTAGACTCAGTGAATCAGTAGGGAGCTGAGATTGACACACCGCAGCAGATCACTGGACTCAGTAAAACAATGCTCTGGAGAGAGAGTGTTAAGACATAAAAAGTATTTAAGGTGATGCATTTTTTTTAATTTCCTTTCTGAAATTTAAAAATAGTTAGAAAGCACAGCAGTGTTTGAATTTATCTGCAAAAAAAGAAGAAGCCTATGCATTGTTGAAGTGATTTTGTGCCATTTTGGCTTCAACTTAGCAGATTTTGGGAGAATACAGCTAATAAACCTCAAACTCTAAAAACAGGCAGCAATGCAGAAAATTGCCACAAACAGCACCAAGGTTGACAGGCCCCCCTGTGTTAATTATCGTAATAGAGCTCCATTCAGCCACATCCATGTTCAATGTGCAAAATGGGCCATAAAGAAGACAAACAGCATTAGAGAGGTGCTTGGAGCTTGTTTATATGTGTGTTCTCCTCCGCACAGCTACATCAAGCACAGCATTGGTCAGCTTAATGATGCATGCAGGCAAAGAGGGAGGCAGGGAGGACTGTGCTATTCCACAGTTACAAGCATGGAGAAAGTGAACAACCCCATAGGCAGAAAGTAAAATTGCACATGTTTGCGATGATTTCACTCACCTCCCTTGTAAGACTGAACCATAGGCTTCTCTCCACCTGCGTAATACACCAGTGATAGTGTGAACTGCAGTACATCAGTACACTGGAGCTCAGTGTTAAATTAAGTAAGTTGAAACTGAAGGCAGTTTTTTTTAATAACATGGGTATCCAAAACTTAACAAACAGGAGTGTCAATGAGATTGGAACAGACATGAAATCACTAAAAATAATGGAAACTTCTTTTTTAATTTTATTTTTTTAAATGGAGCTGAGGTAAAACCCATTTGCTTCCTTTCCAGACTGCCAGAAATACAATCAGTATATATTCCAAGACCTATACCAACCCCACATCCTCTTTACACTCCCCCTCTCTGTGAAATACAATAAATACAGCATCCACTGTGTGCTTCTTAGATTTTTTTTTTTTATCATTTTTTGCTCAAGGGCTTTCTGGTCTAACCTTATTCTTTCGCTTCAAAGACTCCCTTACCAAGACAGAATATTTGTAGCAGCGCTGCCAGAGTACACACACAAAGAAAAAATAACAGTCTGGTGAGTCAGTGCACAGACCACAAGCCTTGTTTAGGATTTACATACGTGTAAATATTTATCATCAAATACGACGCTGAATTAAACTACTGCCATAGTTGTATTGTTTTAAGTTGGATGCCTTTTAGTGCAGTCCCTGTGTAGAAATGTTGGTGGTGCTGTTGAACTACAGCCTTTTTTAAGTCTTGCCTCATCATAAGACACCCAAAGACATTAGTGGCAGTGGAATCATTTAACTTGTTTAGAAAGAGTTTAAAAGAGAGGCAGAGTTTAAGAAACTAAAGTGGAATACGCGAACAGCCCTCAAACTTCAGAAATCAAAACAAATGTTTTTACACTGCATCAAAATTCAACTTCAACTGTAAATCTCTATCATTTGAACTGCAAGCGGAAACATAGTTGTATCAGTGGGGTTCAAATACTAAAAACTAGTGCAGATTTATCTGGAAAAGCTTTGGACATCTACATAAATCAACCCAGAAAGTTTGTGCCTGCAATACGATGTTCGTTACTCGTTGGTCTTTCTAACTGAGGCGTTTTCTCTTGCTTCTCATAAACTGTAACTTGCAAACTTATAAAGCATTCAACGCCTCATTTACATGCAGAGATATAAATGAGCGGGTATTTTCTCCTGCTGCCACCAGTGTGGTTAAAGTAGTTCGTTTCCTTACTAAATCTTTTCATTGCGCAGTATTTCTTACCAAACTCGTTAAAACAAAAAAAGAAGTGGGACACCACAGATGACAACGATCAGCTTTCCCTCCACTCTGCATGAAGCACTTTAGCCGAATTGAATTTGAAAACACCTGCGTAGCTCCATTTCCTGTGGGAATCAAAACAAGCATCAAACGAGATTTGCACAAAGCTGAACCAACTCCTTCATCCAGCGCTGCAAGGCATTTTTTAAATGTCTTTAAACAGTGGTGGGTTGTACCAGCACATTTCTCAAGGTTTCTATTATATTAAATAGCATCTTCTCGTCTTTGTAGTGTTTGGAGAACAATTAAATAAGAGAATTTAGGTAAATCCACAGACTCAGTCTTCACTTTACTCTTAAATCATTCCACATTGAAAGTGCTTTTGTCAGCTCATTAAAATGAGAAAATAGAAGAATAAGAGAAAAGTCAGCATCAATAGCATTTTTTTATTTACTTCATCATTTAAATTTAGAACCATGCAACTGTAGGTCTGACTGTCAAAAGAACCATACATTTTAATAAAGATTTTTCTTTACCCTAGTGTTCTTATGCAATGCCTTTAATCACTTACCATAAATATTACACAGACAGTTTGATTTATTAGCCCAAAAATGAAAAAATATGAAGGTTACAACTGGGATTAATATGAAATAATAAAGAGAATTTTTTTTTTTTTTTTTTAAATGTTGATTCAAATTAGTTATTTGTTGCCATTATTTATGCTACCAGTGAAGTCTGACAGAAATAAACACAATATAAATGCAGTGCAGGTAACACATTCAAATATCGTGTGCTGTGGCCGCTGCGCTGATGGTAGTAACATTACTTGTGCAAACTCTAAACGAACAAAAGCTGCCATCGTACTTTGAAATCAGAGTGACGGACAGACCAGCTGTGTCCCTGTCACTAGA